AAAATATAAATAAGATTTATTTTTCTATTTACCTCCTTCATTCTTTATTCCCCAGATTTTGTTCTCCACTTTCTCCTTTTATTTTTTCTTAGCAAAATGGGGAGAACAATGAAACCAACTTTCCATATTCAATTCACTCTGCAGGTTGACTTAGGTTCCAGTAGTGCAGTGATTGGGAGCATGTGAGGAAGGAATGTGTAATGTGATCCACTTGGGAGAAAAATCAAACAGAGCATCAGCTCAATTAAATAATATGGTTTGATATGTAGGACCATGGTGGAAGCAGGGCTAATTAAAACAAAGTCAGAGGAGAGGAACTTTCTAATTCTCATATTAATTCACCCAGAGTCACCTGGATTTAATTGTCTTCTGTTTTTTCTTCACTAACTCCCTGGTGGAAGGGAAGAGGGCAAAAGCTGGGGACTTCAGAAAGCTTGTAGGTTCTACAGGGCAGGTCTCTAACGGGGAATAATTATAGTGAAGGAAGGTCAGGAGAAACCCTTCATTCCCAAGCTGTCACCATTTAGGGAGCATATGTAAATGCAACTCATCAAGTCTATTAAGGAGATGTATAGCTCAGAAATCTGTTAAATCTACTTTTGTTCCATTAGCTGTTTGTATCCATACAACAATCCAAGGAGACAGGCAAGACGAGTTTGATGGAAGAGAAAACTAGTGCCCAGCAAAATTTGAGTCTTATTTGGGATTTCCTCTCCAGAGGCTGGAATAGAATATGGCTTTCCTGGTTTCAGGCCAGAACTCTGAAGACCCAAGAGAATGGTGATTTCCCAGCCATGGGCTTTCCTCTTTCCCACACCTCTGATTTTTCAGAGACCTAGTACAAGATCTCTTGGCATCTCTGACGCTCCTTGCTTTTTGCCCAGCAGGTAACCCACAATGCGGCGAGCCACAGAAGAGCCTGAGACCCCAGTGATGGAAGTGGGGAGGCAGGAAGGAAGGGGCTCTATTGTACCAGACTGCAGTAATGGTAACAGGTTGTAGTAAGCAGCCCTGAGTGAAGGAGGAGTTAGGCACTGTGTTCCTAGCCAATGCTGTGCATCAGCTGCCAAACCAGGATCTTTTATATTCAGAGAAAGTGTGGGGACGAGTGTGTGTGTGTGTGTGTGTGTGTGTGTGTGTGTGTATTGTTTTTTTTTAAGTGCAGCTGCTGGAGCAAAAGATATGAAGACTGAAACCCACAAAGACCCAGAGTCGACTACTGGGAGCAACTTCTGGCTGTAGGACTTGAGGGGCAGGGGTGGGAAGGGAGCAAGAAAATCTGAGTTGCTTTTGCCCAGTGGGTTATTCATTACTGCTTTGCATTCAATGCCTGCCCAGGTATGGCTCAGCTCAGTCTGGCAAGCTATAGCCTTGATTGCTACACCTGAATCACTGACCCTGCATTCAGACCTCTTTCAGTATAGCAGGGGTGGTTTGCTTGCTTTTGTCTTAACCAAAATAAGACTGTATTTCCCCTTTTAATGATGTTTCTTACAAGTAAAATATAATATATGCTTATTGTAAAAACATACAAACAACACAGTTAATGTCCCCCATCATATACACATACTCACATTTCTTTCCTCCCTTCTTTTATTCCCAGAGTTACCCTCTTAGCAGTTTAAACACACATGGACACCCAATTTTTTAAACAAAAATAAAATTATAATGCACATGCTGTTCTGCATTTTTTCACTTAGAAGTGGGTCAAGAGTGTTACTATTTCAGTACATAGGGGTCTAGATACTTGATTTTTAAAGCTGATACATAATATTCCAAAATATATATCTACCATAATTTATTTAATAATTCCTTTATTTGGGCAGGAGAAAACTTGGGGAGGTGATAGATATGTTTATGGCTTGGATGGTGGTGATAGTTCCACAGGTGTATGCTTATTCCCAAACTCATAAAGTTGTGTGCATTAAATATGTACAGCTTTTTACATGGCAATCATACTTTGACAAAGTGGCTTAAAACAATGATTCCCTTATTGAGGGACATTTAGTCTACCTTTTATGTAATATTTGTCATTGTTACATAATATTCAGCATAACATACTTGAACATTTCTTGGCATGTTTTTATGAGTAGATTCATAATCAAATTCCTTGAGTTGGAAATGCTGGGTCAAGCTGCATATGCATTTTTAAATTTCATAAGAATTACCCACTTGTGCTCCCAAAAGATTGCGCCATTTACACTTCCATCAATTATATATGAGAGTGAGCAATGTTCCCTTTATTCAGGATTCCACTGAAACAGCTTGAAGATGTTCATTTTAGTTGACTTCTCATGCTTCTCACTTCTCATAGGAATCAAGGGGCTAGTGGAGTTGGTGAGTTCCAAAGAAGAAATACAACTCAAGTGGCCAAATAGAGTAGCAGAACAAACATAGAGCTGAGAGTGGGAGACCTGGTTTCCAGGACCATCTTTGTGAGGCAGTGGACAGGTAACTTCAAACGCCTGATCTCTATTGTCTCATCTGTGAAATGCAGATCATGATAACTGCCATAGTAAACTGTTGTGGTTGTTGTGAGGATCAAATGGGGAGACGCAAAAGTGGTTTGTAACCTGAGAAGTAGGATACACGTGCCAAGTGGTTCTGATGGTAGTGTTCTAATATCCTTAAATCAAAGAGCTCCCAAGCAAGAGAACAGTGAGTCGAGTGGTAAAAATGATGAGTTAAGTGGGAAAAATTACACAGCTGAAATTTTTAAGATATTTCTGATTAGAATCCCTTCCCTGAAAGCTCCCATGCAATTGCCCTATATTCTTGGAGAACAAACCATGTTATCCGTTAAGATTGCTTTCTTGTATCAAGAATAATACAGGTTATTGCCCTTTCACAGGAAGATCCTAGGCTTGGGTCCTAAGTCCACTCCTCTTTCTAGACATCACTATGCTTTCATTTGTCAATCACCTAATAGGATTTTGGCCCCATGCTCCTTTCTATAATCACTAGGGAGAGAAGAAATACACACATGAAACGTTTAAGTAACCATGTGTGGTGACTGCATAAATATCTCTGAATTATAGCTGAGGTATATGGGAATATTAGAGTGAAATCAAATACCTTCTAATTACAATTTAAATCAATAGTCTAGAAGACCCAAGTTAAATCATTAGCCAGGAAAATCAAGTTATATTTTTCTATTTCTTAAAAAAGATTCTTGTTTAACCCAAATAAATGTATTTTACGATCAGAGATGTTAACATTGAATAAATTACATTCATTTTTATTTGTGATTTTTGAGATTATTTTTTACCATGGTGTAAACAAAAAATCAATGGTATGGGGTTTTTTTTTTAACTCCAAAGTTAATTAAAAAGATATCTGTGAAATCATTGGAGGTAGAACCATCCTGATTCCAACCTATTAATCAAAGATTTGAGAGTGAGGGTGTTGAACGTTTTTGCATTAAAGACAGGCACCACACCAAAAAAGGTATTTTAAAAATGCCCGATTTTTTAAAAACACCAATCTTAGTCTGTTTCTTTTAAAGAAAGTATGTATTTTAACAAAACCAGCAATACCACACTTAATTCTTAGCAGTACTACACCGTATCATATTAGAAAAATCATGGACATTGGACTCATTTAGATAAAATCCCAGCTCTACCACTTTCTACAATGTTAATGTAATACTCATATATGCATTAAAATATATTTGATTTAGGAAAATAAAATGCAAAGTGACCCTTTAAAATAATCTGGATTACAGAGTTTACTTAGGCTTTGCCTCCCTCTTTCTTGTTTTGCCATAGAGTGGATCACTGTTGTTTTTCTCAGTTCCCTGTATCATCACAATTTAAAATGAATTAGTCCAAAAGAGGCATCCCTTTCTCCAACTGCTTGAGATGTTATGTCTGGTGAATCTGTAGCTCTTTTGCACGACTTTAACTAAAAGGACCTTGGCAGATATATTCGTTCACCCTTGGCCTTGAAACTTATTTTGTTGGCACTATGGAGAAACTGAATAAAAATTCACTGGAAAAGGTCATGATCCATTTTGGCCATTTAAGTATGTGAGGATATGTTTATCTTTATAAAAATAAATCTGAAAGTAGAAAGAAAAAGTTACTAATAATACTACTATTTCAACCCAACTATTACAATTTTATGTTCTCTTCTGATCGTTTTCTGTAGGCATACTTTACATCATTATAATTTGAATATCGTTATTATATTGTATTATTTGAGTTTTTATGGCAACTTACTGTCTCCTTGCTAAGATTCACCATAATTTACATAATGTAGCCAAATCATGGGGAGTATGGATTTTGGAGTAGCAAGAGATGGTTTTAAGAGTTAAATTTTAGAAAGCATTAGACACCTGCAAAAATTTGAACCATATCCTAAAGACAAGAGAAGGCATTAAAGGTTTAAGGGAAAGGACGAACAGGGAGAATCACATTTAATCTCCATTTAAAGTAAAATTATTTTTATTTTTTGTATAATGCCTTGCTTTTTGGAATGTGTGTGTTTCATATACAAAAAAGTAGTTTCCGCATCTAGACTGCCATCTCTTTGAATCCCACCACCGCATCTGCCTGTCTTAGTTTTATTTAAGAGAGTCCATCAGTTTAACCTGCCTGGCTGACAGGTGGTGTCCCAAATTGAAACCATTTTTCCCCCCGAATAAAGCGTGCCCGTGTAGCTGGACAGATTTCATCCCCTGAAAATTCATCTGTAATCCCAATTTTCCTGAGGGGAGCAATTAAGGAAGATACATGAAATCTCCCCTCCTCTCCATCCTGTCAGGTGCATCTCTTTTTTGATGGCCCCACCTCTGTCTAGACAACCCTGACAGTGTAGAAGTTTCCATCTCCTTTCCCTTTCCCTCTCCGTGTTCCCTCCCCTTCAGTTTTTCCCCCCTCCCAGGCGCTTCCTGCCTGGAAACAAAAGATTGGTCCCCAGTAGCCCACTCAGGGCGATTTTAGTTTTATGCTCACCATCTGATTGGCCTAGGTAAGGTGCAGAGCTTGGGTGACGTCATAGTAGAGAAGGGCTAGGGAGCGGTTGCCGAGCAGGGGCTCTACCGCGGGCGGGCAGCTGTGCCAGCTAACCGTCTGGGATCTCGCACTGGGGGCTGCAGCTTTTCCCCGCCTAGAGCCAGTGTGCGGGGGCGGGAGAAAAGCCAGGGGGAGCGGGCTGGGCCCGGGGCTGCGGCTGCGGCCGCGGGGCTGCGGCTCCCCAGCCCCGCCAGCTGGAGCGCTCGGTGGTAGAGGAAAGGTCTTGACTGGGTGGCTGGATCCGTGGCAGGTAAATCCCGCGACTAACTGCACCCGGGCTAGCGCCGGGGAGGGGGTGGCTATTGGATAATGCTTTAAAGCTTCTGGGCAGATGTTCTGCCTTTCCGGACCCTGCTCCATCCTGGTTGTGTCCCAGCCTCGAGTCTCCTACGTGGCTCCCCGTAGCCCTGAGACCAAGCGAGCAGTCTGCAAGATCCCGGTTTGCCGGACAAGTGGGTGTGTCAGGGCCGTTCCCGAAGGGCCGGGGCTCCTTCGCTCGGTCAAACCCTAGACTCGTTTACTGGGGCCTGAGCCACTTGAGGCAAAATCCGCCTTGAAAGCTACGTCAGCCTGTAAGTCTTCCCTTTCGCCCCCCCCGCCCCCCTACCCAACCCCAGTAGCTGTGACAGCAGTCCCCTAGAGAAGGGGAGGGGGTGTGGCCACGGTCTGGCCAAGTCCGCGGCAGAACCCACACCCCCACCCGAGCAAACAGAAAAAGTGACGATTTTCTTAAACGGGTGCCTTCCCCTCTTTTATTTTTCTTTATCCCCCTCCCCTTTTTTTGGTGGGGGGGATGGTAATGACAGGGAGACTCTTTTCTCCTGTGGGGACTGGAATGATGCAATAACGTCCCCAGAAAGCTCTGGGTCCCTGGATTGGCCCTGTCTTTGTCTGGGGAGCGGGGTCATTCGGTCCACTGCCTCTCCTTCTCCCCCGTTCCCATTAGCTCGCTGGGGGCATTGCCCTCAGTTTGTGAACTGGCTCTGGCAAGATTACTGCCGCACTTTTGGGTGAACTGAACATTTTAGATTCTTGCTCTGGCTGGTTTTCCTTCCCTAGGTGGTGGTTAAGGGGTGGGGTGGGGTGGGGGATGGTGGGAAGGGGGGTTCAAGCAAGGAGGGAGCTACAGGCCCCACTTGTTTTTTTTGGTCCCACCTTTCAGAATGCAATTCCAGATTCTAGGCTTGAGGGTTCTGGGCTGTTGGTCTGTAGAAGCAAAGGAGAGAAGGGTGAGTGCCTTGGCTTTGGGAAGCATGATGGGGGCGGTTGCAGTGCTATTTTTAAAAAACGGCTTTCAGCAGGGAAGCCTTTAGCCATGTTAGTCTTGCTCCCCCCATGGTTTTGCAGACTCAAATCCAGGCCAAGTGTATGGCTGTCTGAGGTATTGGAACAGAAGGAGGTCCATTCCTGTTGGTGACAACACCGTGGCCCTGTTCTGGGATGAGCAAGGTGTAAAGGTCAGTGCGGTTTTCACTGGGCCATTTGCAAATTTATAATGGGGCAAGATCTGTGATTTGGTACTTGAGACCTCCAATCAGGGGCAACTTTGGGCAAAGGGGCTTGTTATGGTGATGAATAACAGGCAGAGGCTTGGAGAGAGAGCCGTTTGTAAA